CTCCATTGATAAGAATGTTGTTTATTGGTCTAGTGGTGAGGATTTTTGTTTTCTTGACATTGAGATGTAATCCATATCGAAGGCTGTGCTCTTTGATCTTTATAAGTACATGTTTCAAGTCCTCTTCACTTTCATCAAGCAAGGTTGTATCATCTGCATATCACAGGTTGTTAATGAGTGTTCCTCCAATCCTGACACCACGTTTTTAAGATGAAACAGAGTGTATGATTTGTTGAATGTAGAACTGGTGGATCTTTTATGTAAATGTTCACTCAATTTACAGCAAAAAGTTTCAAAAGAGGTACTTTCTATTTCCAAGTGTTGTGGGGGTTGGGAGAAAGAACAAAAATTTGAAAATGGGGCACAACCACAAAATTCTGTTGCACAATTTGCCTCAGGAAAGAATTGATTGCTTTTCCTTTTTTTGTCTTGAGAACTCCTAAATTGTATTCTGTAGTATAAACACCCTCATGTCACCTCCCCGATCAGAAGAAACTTCACAAGAGCTGTCAGAGGCAATCTCTGATACAAGCCTTTGAAGATCCCTAGAAGAAGCTACTGTATCTGGCTCTCAACAAGTCTTATGGAAGAAACCAAGCAGCACTCCTCTTAACAAAGAGGCCTGCTGTGGTTACTATAAGAAAAAAGGAGGTGACTCTTTCCCTTTGCTCAGAGTCATAGAAACACACTTGAAATCATATACCTGTATTCCTATACTCTAATCTCCCTCCTGGACAGAAGCAGATAGCTGAGTTCTATAATGTCTTCTATGGAGTTATGTTATGGTGCTAGAGGTCTGTAGTTCAAACCCACCAGTCACTCCACAGAAACCTTATACAGCATCGACTATGAGGCAGAGTAAACTGGATAGCACTTAACAACAACAGTGTGGCATCTTAAGATCAAGCATATTCTTTCCCTTTAAATATATATAAAGGGTCTTTCCTAATTAGATCATGAAGCTTTTCTTATGTCTTGGTCTTATGACTTAAAAGAAAAAAAAATTTTTTTTAATTAGGACTAATTCGAAGCAACTCTAGTAGGTAACAGAATTGCTCCAAAATAGATGCAGCTAATTAAATTCCTTGCTAGATGGAAGCAATGTCCCCAGATGCATTCAGAAACCCAGCTGATAAGAAACAATGAAGCAAAAACATACAGCAGTGAATGAGCATGAAGTGTTTGCATTGCAAAACCTCAAACTGCAGCATCATTGTTTAGCATCACACTTTCCCAAAATAGGCCACAGACTGTCAAGATTGGGGCCTTAATTACAGGAGGTTAATAAAAATGCAAGATACTACAGAACATCAAAAATCAGAATCAGCAACATCTGGCTACAAGCTCCAAGGGTGATTACTGCTCTAGAGACATAAATTCTTGTCATATACGCTCATCTGAGGCTGACAGCGACCTTGAGTTTGGTCTCACCAAAGTTCCACAGCAAAAATATCCCATTGCCATTATGTCAATTCAACTCATAACAAGCCTGTGGGAAAAAGGAGAATTGTCCATACGTTTGGAAAGCCTTAAATCTCACAGAAGCACTCTGCCACATCTTTCTCCTACAGAATGACTATTGGATTTAAACTGTTGACTTTGGGGTCAACAGCCAAGTGCTTAACTACTATACCATTAGGGCTCCTTCCAAAGCTCTATTTAAAGAGAAACAAACAAACTAACAAAAACACTGTCATTTAATTGATTCTCACTTGTAACATCTCTATAGGACGGATTAGAACTACTCCTTAGGGTTTCTGAAGCTAAAAATCTTTAGGGGAAAAAACAGCTTTATCCTTCCACAGAGACTGGCTGGTGAGTTTGAACCACTGACTTTGTGTTAGCATTCCAATGCTTAATCCACTTCACTACCAGGGTACCTTCCAAAGTTTTATGTTGTTGTTATGTGCCATGGAGTCGGTTCCGACTCATAGAGACCCTGTAATAGGCTGTAAATCTTTAGGAAGCAGAAAGCCTCATCTTTCTCCCACGGAACAGCTAGTAGTTTCGAACAGATGACCCTGAGGTTCGCAGCCCGATTTGTAACCACTATGCTACCAGAGCTCCAAAGTTTTATAGAGGCTTATAATTTCAGAGATGATGGAACTCTTCAAACACATGATGTAAGTAAAGCACTGCATATAATTAATATCTAAAATTTTTGTCTTGGCAATTAAAAATGTAAAACTCACTGCTGCCCATACAACCTCATCATACACAAACTACTCCTCACTCATAAAATACCCGCATCCAGAATTATCTGACTAAAGAACTGGGTAAATTAGTCATTAGCAAGAAGGAAGACCAGATGGAGTTTTTAACAATTGAACTTTGATTTAGGAAATGTCTTTATGGTCAATTTAAATAATTTGTCCCAAGTTATTTAAATAACTTGTCTGATGACTCCTGGTGTGGCACTGTGGGTTAATGCGCCTGACTGCAAAGCCATTTGAACTACAAGGTCAGCGGTTCAAGCTCACCAGTTGCTCCTTGAAAACCCAATACAGGGTCACTATGGGTCGGAACTGACTTGATGGCATGTAACAGTCTGAAATAGAAGTCCTTGAGTGGTTTAAATGGTCAACTTGCTGACTGATCTCTGAGAAGTTGGCAGTTCAAGTTCACCAGTGGCATCTCAGAAGAAAAGCCTGGTCTACTTCTTTAAAAAGGAGCTCTGGTAGCTAGTGGTTACTAAATGGCTGCTAACCTCAAGGTCGGCAGTTCGAAACTACCAGCCATTCCGCAGAAGAAAAATGAGGCTTTCTGCTCCCATAAAAATTTACAGCATCGGAAACCCTGTACAGGATTGCTAAGAGTCGGAGCTGACTCCACAGTACTTAACAACAACAACAACTCCTTAAAAGGAGTCCTGGTGTGGCATTGTGGGTTAATGAGCCAGACTGCAAAGCCGTTTGAACTTCAAGGTCGGTGGTTCAAGCTCACCAGCTGCTCCTCGGAAACCCTATTGAAGGACCCTGCTCCTAATCAACAAAATGGCATTGCAGCTATACCAAGTGGCACTGAATAAAGTCCTGCTTGGGCTTGTGGTCTCTTGGTCTCCTTTGGTGACTTAGAGTACCCCCTCCCAGGTTACTCTCAATAAACCTGCCTGCTGTTAAAGCCATGTTTCTGTCCTCCTCTCTTTCTTTCTTATTTCTTACTTTTAGGCACACAACGGGGGGCACGGGAGAGTAAGCCGAAGCTCCCCTGCTGGCTATGGGTTGCCATCGCCCCATTCCCCCACATCCTCTTCTCTTCCTCTCCTCACGATCTAAGGTGCAGTAGTGGGCAGAAGTTAGATGGGCGAATCCTAGACGTGAGATTAAATTTTTCTTTCTGAGACATCTCGGAGTTGTGAGCAAACCAAGTCCAATTGAGGAGGCTTGACAGGGGTTACTCTCCGGTAGCCTCTAAAGGGACTTGCTACTTTCATATCTTTGGTAGCCCGTTCAGGCAACTGTCTCCCTTGTCTCCTTCCTAACCTGTGGCTCCAGCAGAATATAGGAACACGTCCCTGACCGACTCCAACCATCCACCTGATTCCTCCCTAGTGGTTCCCACAGGGAAGGTAAATTGGCCTCCAGAGGTTTTCTCTAAGGTACGTAGAATATGCCTCCTCTGAACCCCAGACATAGGTCTCAGCAGGCCTTCCTTATATGCCTCAGGGGCCCGCCATTGGAACAATACAGGGGACACTCTGGTTGTTCTTCTAGCCCTCCCTTCCATCTCCAGCCTCCATATTTCTCTTCTTGGGATGCCCTGTAGAGAAACATCGTGTGCCCCGGTCACCCCCTTCTTACCTCTCCCTTTAACTGAATACACAAAAAACTATAGGAACCAATATCTCAAAAATAGCAAAGGAGACCCCATTAGGGGTCTCTTGTTCAATTTCAAAAAACTTCATTTACAATCTGAAATCAAACCGAAATGCCTCTTTACACTTTGGAAACGGCACCTTCGACTATGGAATTCTCAGAGATCTAGAGAAATTCCTCCAATGGAATGGAAAGTGGTCAGAGGTCCTCTATATCTAAGCCTTTTTCTATCTATTGCCATAACTCTCTTAAATGTCTATTTTCCTTAAATTTTAACTTCCCATTTCTACCAGTTAGCCCCACCTAAATTCCATCCTCTGGCAAGAATTTACAAAAGCCAATCTCCTCCGCAGTGCAGCTCCACCCCCTCCCAAACCCGTCAAAGCTATTGAGCCATACTCTCTCTCTCTCTCTCCCACCCTCCCACCCCCAGAGGACTTCCAGTGATTGCAGATTCAATTAGGAGGATTGCGAGGTTCTCACAGGGGCACACACCCCAATGAATTCTCAAAACTCCTGAACCTAGAACCGCTTTTTCCGACTGCTCATATACTAACTGTTGTTGTTGTTGTTGTTAAGTGCCATCGAGTCAGGTCCGACCCATAGCGACCTGTACAGGGTTTCCGAGGGTGTAAATCTTTACGGGAGTAGAAAGCCTCATCTTTCTCCCGCGAAGCAGCTGGTAGTTTCGAACCGCTGACCTTAAGGTTCACAGCCCGATTCGTAACCACTACGCTACCAGAGCTCCTTCATATACTAACTAGCAGTCCGCTTTTCTCCTTTCTTTCTCTCTCTCTCCCTTTGCAACTGACTACGAGGGATCACGGACCCTTTCAAGACGATTGTAAGGCCAGGCCAGGGCACCCCTGTTGGGTCTCAAAACTCTTATAAAGTGCTTTTCCCCAACCACCCACTTCCAAGAAGTCCGTTTTTACTTTTACAGGGCTCCAAATCTCAGAGGCCATTCTGCCAAATCTTTCCTCATCCAATACCTGTCACAAATTCCTGGGTCTAGATAAGTCAGCCCCCGGCACTTTCTCCTGAGGATCCCAAGAGATTCTGCCTCGTCCCCTGGTCCTCAGAGGATCACTTGGACTCCCCTGGAAGTGGGCGCACAGAAGCCCATAACCCTCTCCAGGCCATCCGGTCTGACAGTGGGACCTCTGACCTCCGGTCTCCCTTCTCACCTGTGGGAAGGCAGACACCGCTTTCAGCAGTGACTCCTTGATCCACCCCAAACGGCAGCTGGGGCTTTGCAAACCACCCCCTCCCCTCTAGGCTGTCTTCTGAATAACCTAAAGAAATTACATCTAGCAGAAATCAATGCAAAAAATAATTTATTTATTTTTGCAATATAGATTGTCGCAATTGTAAACTGGACAGTGACAGTCAGTGGCCAGAAAACAGCACTTTGACTTCCAAATTCTCAAAGAAATGGCAGGTCCGCCGCGTCCAAGCCTTTTTCTTCCTCATCTGGCACCCCTCCCCTAGCTCAGCTCACCAAATTAACCTTCTTGGAAACAATTTCCTCCTGAATCTCCCTTTGACCCTGCCAATGAACATGCCCCCACTCATTGCTCCAGCCTTTGCACGGCCCCCTCCTCCTCCACCCGTTGTCCCTTCCTAAGATTCTCCTCCCTTGCCACCAGTCACCCAATCCTGGTACAGCACCAACTATCCTCCCCTTAAGGGAAGTTGTTGTTGTTGGTGGTGGTGGTGGTGTTGGTGTTATGTGCCATGGAGTCAGTTCTGATGCATAGTGACCCAGTACAGGGTTTCTGAGGCTGTAAATCTTTATGGGAGCAGGAAACCTCATCTTCCTCCTGTGGAATAGCTGGTAGTTTTGAACTGCTGGCCCTGAGGTTTGCAGCTCAATTCATAACCACTATACTACCAGAGCTGGGTCAATGGCCCTGCCCTAGTGGATGTTCCTTTGTCTATGTCCAATCTTTCCCAGATTCAAAAGCACTTTAGGATCCTTTCCTGAAAACCCAGGCAAGTTCCACAAAGAGTTCCTGTGGACAATCCAGTCTTTTAGTTTACCTTGGCATGACATTTACATTATTTTAAATACTACCTTTACTGCAGAGGAAAAGGAACTCATATGGAGAGCAGCAGAAGCCCATGCTGATGCCCTCCATGAGCAGGTCCCCAACCATCACCCTGTAGCGGCTGATGCCCTCCCTCTGCAGAGAGCCTAATTAGAATTATCAACATGGAAGCACCCAACAAAAGAATTACATGATTACTTATTTTATAGTGTAATGGATAAAAACGTCCATAAGGCTGTCAATTATGATAAATTACATGAGGTCACCCAAGGCCCCAATGAAAACTCTGCCCTTTTTCTTTCCCACCTTTCAGAGATCATGATAAAATACACCAACATGAACCCAGAACCAAGAAAAGGCCAAACTTTCCTTCATTTGCAGTTTATTCACCAGTCTGCACCCAACATTAGAAGGAAATTACCAAAGTTAGAGGAAGGTCCTCAACCCCACAATGAGATACTCTAAAAAGCAGCCTTTAAATGTTTTTAACAACTGAAACGAGGAACATAGGAACAAAAGAAACAACTCCCCATTAAATATCAGACACTAGTGTCTACCACCTCACATTCACCCCAGCCCAAAGCAGGAAAAATCACAACAGTGCCTGGGACATGCTTTCAATGTGGGCTGGCTAGACACTGGGCAAAAGCATGCTCTAACCTGAGGCCACCAACCAAGCCATACCCAATACATGGTTAATGGGGCCACTGGAAGATGGACTGCCCCCACCAGGGACGCCCTCCCAGGTCAAGTTCAGTCCAATCGTTAGCCCTCAAACCACTCATGAAAGACCCTTCACCCTTATTAGCTCTCTTCAGAAGACTGATGGTGCCCGGGATTTTCCAGCCCAACAGCAAATATGTCCTCAGAACCCAGGGAAGCTAGGACCGTATCTGGTAAAGACCATCTCTTTCCCACTGGATACTGGGGCGAGTCTTTCAGTTCTAACAGAATGTAGTGGTCCACTCCTCTCTTCCTCAGTCTCAGTAATTGGAATGAAAGGCAGAGCTGCCACTTCCAAACAAACACCAGCCCTCCATTGTTCCTTTGGAGATCACAGATACCTGGGCCCTGTGTAAGTCATTTCCCATCACCACACCCCTAAAAAAAATTTCATTAAAGGATCCTATGTGTCAAATTGCTGTCCCTCAATAACCCCTTAGTCCTGAGGGTCCCCATGACCTGCAACCCATTGTTTCCTGATCCCTTGCAGCCCACATCCTCATACCTACCCATTCTCCACACAACATATATGGGACATATAGACTCATCCAAGACCTCTGTTGGATTAATCAAGCTGTGTGTCCTACTTTTCTAGTAATCCCAAACCCCTACACCTTCTGTCATACATTCATTCCTCTACCACCCAATCTCCCCCTTCTCACTCTCTACTCTTCATTCTGTTCCAACCAACGCTTACCCTTTACCAATTCAACATTTAATAGAGCTCTCAGCCTCCCTCCTATACCAAGATCTACCGCAACACATAAATGATACATGCTGGATTTGTTTAGCCTCTACCCTATCACTTTTTTTAGCCACTCCAGCCCCCTTATGAACATGGGTAGAAACCAAAGCCTCTCCCTAGCTTTCTCAAAACCCCAAAAAGGTCCAATATTCTCCTCTAAATGCATCATTGCAAACATGCCAGAAGCAGCTGAAAACATCCTACAGGGTATCCAAACATTCATCCAACCCCTCCGGTACCCTACAACACCCACCACAGGACCAATAGAAAAGCTCCAAGATCTAACATCCCACCCTGTCTTGTGTATGACTTGACTCAGTTTTTCATCAGACTCTTCTGTAGGAACTTTCAAAACCCCTTTCACACAAACCCTAAAACTCCCACCACCCACATATATAAACTCCTATAGTGCCACAACAGAAGCCCCCAAAATTTATAACTTCAAATAATCCCTCTTCAACCGCTTCCCATCTGTCAGTTACCCCCTAAGATTTTCTCACCCCTCTCATATTACACCGCTAGTGGGATCTACAAAAACCTCACAATACTGTGACTCTAGACATCCTACAACCACTGACTACCCACTACTCAACATGTGCCTCAAGGCAATAGGCCCCCAAGTCAGAAGAGACTGTCACATGTTACCCATTAATAACACTCAACATTAGTCCTAATAAACACCCCCTTGAGCCAAAACACATGTGTTGCAACTTATCCCCCTACTTGTCAGCCTAGGAATCACAGCAGGTGTAGGAACTGGAGCAGCAGGGATTTCAGTCTCATTTCTATCCTCCTCCCTAGGGGAAAGTTTCATGAAATATCTCTACAGCTACCCCAAATTCAAGATCAGATTGACTCCCTAGGAGTAGTTCTCCAAAACTGAAGAGCCCTAGACTCACCTACAGCCGAAAAAGGAGGCATCTGTATATTTCTCAATGAGGAATACTGTTTTTTTGTGAACAAATCATGCCTAGTCCTAGATGGTATAAAGAGATTCAGCAAGGCTGAATTCCAACAATTCTCCAAGTTCGTGACTCACCCAAATATCTTCCCTTGGTTATTACCCTTCGTAGGACCACTACTCCTCCTCTGCCTGGGAGCTGTTTCCTGCTTGTATAATAAATTCTTTCCAAAGATTTCTTGCAGGCCAACTCACTGCCATTGTGAAAGATCAGATGGCAACACTCTTCTGCTACAGACTCGCACCATCTACGTCCCATAAATCAGCAGGAAGCAGTCAAAGAGACATATCTGCCCTTATCCCCCTAACATCAAGAGTCTGGAATGAAGGACCATGGGCCTGATCAACAAAATGGCATTGCAGCTACACCAAGTGACACTGAATAAAGTCCTGCTTGGGCTTTAGGTCTCTAGAAAGCTTATGTCTTTATTGCACCAGGAGTCCTAGCCCCCCACCCCACCCGTAATTTCAGGTTTCAGGAAAATCTCCATAACTCCACCCATTGAAAACTCGCCAGAATTGTACCCACGACCACACCACCCTAAATACCCCAGTCTGTAAGAATCAGGGGGGCTCTTGGTCTCTTTTGTTGACTTAGAGTACCCCCTCCTAGGTTTACTCTCAATAAACTTGCCTGCTGTTGAAGCCAAGACTCTCTCTTCATCTCTTCCTTTCTTATTTCTTATACCTATATAGGGTCGCTATGGGTTGGAACCAACTTGACGGCACTTCACAACAACTCCTTAAATGTGTGGCACTGTGGATTAACGCACTGGCGTGCAAAGTTGTTTGAACTTCAAGGTCAGTGATGCAAACTCACCAGCCACTCCTTAGAAACCCTATACAGGGTAGCTATGGGTCGGAACGGACTCGACATCAGTTAGCTACCACAACTCCTTAAAATCAGCTACTGAAAATCCTAAGGAGCAGTTTTACTCTGAAAACCATGGAATGACTGTGAGTGCTGACTTGACAACTAATGGTGGTAAGGAGTCCTGGTGTGGGGCTGTGAACCCTACTGCAATACACCACACTGCAAAACCATTTGAACTGCAAGGTCAGCAATTCAAGCTCACCAGCTGCTCCTCAGAAACCCTACACAGGGTTGCTATGGGTTGGAATCGACTCGACAGCACTTAACAGCAACAACAATGTTGGTAAGGCTGAATCCCCTAAATGTTTATTCAATTCCTTTTTATTATATTTTTCCCTGTAGATAATGGTTCAGCAGCATATCTATGCTTTAGCATGAAATTCAAGGAGGAATTTAAATGGTAATCTCAAACACTCTAATGCTACCCAATTGGATCTGCTTTGTGAAATCCGTCTGTATGTCTACTTGAGTCTCAATTCAAAGGCAATTTTGAGAAGGTTCTGAAGACCTCACTTTGAGACCACTTTCATTTTTCTGTCTGAAAACTCACCCTTTTATAAAAGGAGTCAGTAATTGTTTCTTGAAAATAAATTTAACATAGCTGAAATAAAATCTCTCTCCTAGTAGTATGGATTACAAAGATGTTAAGGTCTTACCTGGCATTTTTTTCACATTGGGATTTTTACATATCACAAAATAAGGTACTGTTGATTTCAGATTAGTCATCAATTTATTTATTGTTGTGGTTGCCAGGTGACATGGAGTCAATTCCAAATCATAGTAACCCCCTGTACTGTGTCATCATCCCAATCATTGGAATGTTTGAGACTACTGTTGCAGCCATTGTGTCAGTCCCTCTCCTTAAGGATCTTCCTCTTTGTCACTGACCCTCTATTTTACCAAGCATGATATCCTTTTCCAAAGATTGGTCTCTCCTCATG